TTTCAGTTGCCCATAGAAAGCCTCATCAACTTTCTCCTCCTGATCAGGTGGCCTATTGTAAACACTCATTGTAAAAGTGTTAAATTAGCACATTTTTCTTATCAATTTGCCTGCTAATATTTTTACTTGAGTTTTGAAGAAAACTAGATTATAAAGCACATCAATCTCCTTTCTCATCTGGGGCATGGTTCTTTCTTTTTCAAATATGATAGTATTAGGGACTGATAAAGTGGTATGTTTTACTGTCCAAAATACAGTTTTGTACTGTAGATACAGGCTAAGTTGAAATTCTAATAAATCAGCATTTGGTTTCCTTTTCTTTTAATTTAGGTTGTATTTTTTTTTTTTCACAAGATGATGTGATATGCATGCAGACAACTAGAAGGATGTTTTCCTACGTAAGAAATTACTGAATGTTAGGCAGTGCCTGTTTTTTACTACATGTACCCTCTCTCCTGTTTCTTCAAAGAAATGAGTTTCCTGGAAAACAACTAGCACAAAATAATCTAATTTAGTGAGATTGTAATGTATATGCACTATTATATTGCACTGATTCTAAAGCAATTAATTTTCTCGTTATCTGCCTTCTATAACCTTTCACAATGCTTCAAATGCGCTTCACACTACTTGAATGATCTGTAGAAATGGTGCAAACCCAGAGAGACTTGCCTGAGGCTGTGGGAGTTCAAACCCTGGAGCCTGTCTTCACTAGCTGGCACCTTACTGCTGCATGTCCTGCATACATTCAGTTGCAGCTATAAGCACTAACTACTAGTACTATTACAGATTTCTGAAGTAGAGCACTAGAAAACGAGAAATTGCTCTATTTGTGACCACTTCTCACTTAACATTTTGACTCTCAACCTGTGGCTGTGACAGAAGTGAGTTCTTCTTCATGGCTGAGTGAATTGTTTTAACCACAGGAGCATCCTTTCTTTTTCTCCACTAGGCTTCTTGCCAACACGTTTCAAAATGTATAAAACAATGTAGTAAATTTGAGTAAGATCCCACAACTTCTGAACCATACTGCCAGAACATTACATGATATTACCTCAGTAGAACTAGGGAGCATCACATGATATAACCTCAGTAAAAATATGTGTTCTTCAGATAAATCAGAATAAAAAGAACTTGACAATGTGCGCAAGGGGATTATCATGTGCAAAAAATTGTTGTGGTAGAAACTGAGGACCATCCTCCCTTGCCCAGAATTTCGTTTAAGAAGACCGATTCCTACTGGACAAAGAAAGGACTTTCTTCCCAAGTTTTTAGGTTGAAGTAAAATGGGGAAAACTTTTTGGCTGATGGTCAAACTCCAGATGATGGATTCTTCTTGGAGTTCCATCTCTTCATCTGGCTGGCTGGAGGGCCTGAAGCAGGCTCTGAAATACTTTTGAGAAGCGTCAAGTGCTTTAAGGCTGTTTTTTATGTGTGAGTCCCCAAGCTTCACATTCTGTCTTGAGCTTGTGGAAGTTGTGGCACTGGATCACAATAGACATCCCATAGAAAGTGACATTACATCAGTCGCCTGTTTATTTGTTGGAATCCTAATTTTCTGAAGAAATCATTGCAAAGGGAGATCAGGTCCTTGCTGTATTACACTTTCAGTCATTTATAAAGCAGAAGGCAGCAGATCCTCAAGTAGCTTTTTATTTTCTTTAACTTATGGGTGTATCTCTGAGAGGAAACACATGTTTCTCCTCATGGTCAAGTCCTGGAAGTTGCAGTTTAAATTTGATGAAGTGTTTTATTCCCCCAGATAAAAATAAATAAATAAAAAATTAGATTTAATGCATTTGTTGTTGAGGAAACTCAAGAATCCTCCTAATTAAGACATTTCTTAGAAAGGTAAAATTTTTATCTGGGAGCATAAAACACTTCATCAGTTTTAAAGCCACATCTGCAAGGACTGTATCAAGAAGAGAAACAGGCATTTTTCTTTATTCTGGCTTGTCTGTGTATTTAAGACTTTTAACAACAATTTTAAAAATATTTAAAGCCAGTTAGAAACACTTGCAATATAATAGGGATAAGAGTGCCCTTCCTCCCTCTGTTTTTAATCTGGTTCTCTTGATGGAATAAACTACAAGGTTGAATTGGTAACTGGATTATTGCCTCATAAAACAGCACGAGGTTACTATTATCCTTTAATTTTATATCTTTATTAGGGAGTAATGTTGGTCTTATTTAAATCACTGACTTCTCTAATGGTTTTTCTCTTTTACAAATTTATGAAACTAAACCCTAAAGGATTTGGTCTAAGTGCAGTTGGCATAACTGCCATTATAAAAATCTTTGGGTTAGCAGTTGGTTATAATCAGCTGCTTTAACTGGGCTCAAAATGTAGCAGGATTTAGCTGTTGATAGGTAGAATAATGCTGATAAAATATTAATGCTGAATTTTATTTTAAAAAGCTGAATTTCCAATAAGAGCATTTGAATTTTGATGCAGCATGAAGATGAACAACAGTGCTCTGGAAACTGTATAATTTAGCATGTTCATGCAAAGGATATATTTAACACATTGTGTGTTTCTGCTAAGATTAAAAAAAGTTTGTCTTTGTCTTGCAATTCAGTAAAGTAACATTGGAAACTGTTGAAGGCTAGTCTTTTTTAGAAGGTGGCATACAAGTGGCATATTTAATGATGCATTCCAGTGAATACATCCACCTGAATTTTGGGACACAACACATACTGTGGGTGAGTCATTGGCAGTCCTTAATAGGAAAACTGTTGGATTTATGTCATCAGGGTGTATTTAAGATATCAATACACTTTGTTTTTTAAGGAAGAATGTGGCATCCATCTGTTGATTTCAGTGTGCTTTGGTTAAGGTCATGATCAATAAGAAAAGAAACACTAATATGGGTCTGTCTGTTATGGTATGGCTCTGTAGTTGAGTTATAGTTGAGTTTTACACAGGAAGTGAGTGATCTGTCACCTTCAGTGGTTGAGTGACAGAATTGGAGCATTTACTGTTTGAATGCAAGGCAGGTACTGACTTTTCAGTCAGTGTTAGTCAAATTGTTCTGAGTTTTGTATTTTCACTGTTTATTTCTGCAGACAATCTGACAATGCAATAACATGCATATACTTCAAACTTTAAATTAGACTAGATTTTATATTTAAGTTATTGATGCAACATTTTGGTATTGGTTATAAAAATTCAACTCTGTGTTTGGATTTCTTCCTTTGACAGGGACTGCTGCAGGCAATGCCATGTAAAGCTGTTTTCTCTTAAAATACCCACTGTTCTTAGTAGGTTCCTTTCTGAAATTTGTCTACAGTGGGTGTTTTAAAGAAGCCTTTCAATTCTCCTTTTGTCTTAAATTGAACAAAGGCTGAAGAAGATTTTACAAATACAAGAGTGTGGGTTCCACATTGATCAAAAACATTGATGGGAAGTGGTTACAGTTTGGGTGAAGGCATCACAGGTGAAGACATTTATGTCTTGCATCCCTCTGAAACTAAGAGGACACTGAAAAAACAGGAATTATTTATAGCTCTATGATATGGTAAAATACATGCAACATTATTTTCTTGCAATTGGTCTTTTCCTTATGTAACATCATGGCAAAAATTAATGAAATCTGAATGAAAATAATTTAGAAACTTAGACAAGAGGGAAGACAGGAAGATTTAGTTTGGGGGAAGGAAAAATCCAGGTGAGACTGAAAGGAAAGTAGTTTGGGGCTGTGCATTTGTGTGTGTTCTGGAAAATATCTGATGCAAAACCAATGAATTTTTTAGAGTTATGTTTTGGGGAGTAAATGGAGGTATGTCACGTAAGTGGCACTTGAGATTAAGAGAGCGGGTATTCACAGGGCAGCGCAGGACTGCGGGTGAGAATATGTAGGTGCTATGGCTTGTTTCATGTATATTCCATAGCTCTGGTTCCTTTCAAATGTTGTGCCTGTGCCAATAGAGCTGTACTTTGTTTAACCTCAGAAAAATAGTGGTTGCATTTATGCAGGGTGGAGGTAGCACAATGTATAAGTGCTTGCTGGTCAGAATATAACAGAGGTCCATAATATGTTTATGTTATTGGGTATACTTCCAGGTAATGGTTTCTTGTGTGCCTTGTTGATAAACAAATCCAGGTAATGTTGATAAGCAAATCCAGGATGTTTGGGTTCCATAATGTATGTGTTTACATATGGTTATTTATTTTTTCTTTTGAATGTAACATTAACTTTGATTAATACTATAATGATTATTGCATATATGAAATATCCCTGGCACTTTTTTTTTGTTCTAAATGATGCAAATTTGCATAACTCCAAAATAGATCTTTTCTGAGAATGGAGATCGTAATACAATTGTGTGGCTTTATAGTTAAGGTTAACCTAATGATACATGGGCAGAACTCTTAGGATTTTCCTACTGAGGAGCTCAGTATTTGATGAGAGTGACTCACGCTATTAGAGAAGTCATAGACATAGCAGACAATTAGGGTAATTTCTGTTATTTAGCACTTTGTAGGGACCTGCTTGTTATAAACCGCTTTGTGTACTTTATTTAATCCTAAAGGAATTCAATGAACCTCAGAGAGGGGACTTCATGCTGATGATTGCATAATGACTTTTTTTTCTGCCAGACACTTAATGACTAAGAGTTTATCATTAAATGTGTTAAGCACTTCTGTTCTATAACTCTTTTTCTAATATGTTCTCCCAAGGCTTATAATTGATTGTCTACTTAAACAACTGCCTGTATTCAACATTTTGGTTTGTTGGTTTGCTTTCATAACTATTTTTTGTCTTGCAGAAGTCAAAGAAAATTTCCTGTTTCTGTTTGTGTATTTTAGATAATTCCCAAAATAATACTCAAGGTGTTGAAGCACTTTACATGAAATTAGTCTTCATATAAATCAATGAGAACTTCACTGAAGATTTTAGTGAAACCACAACCTCAGTTAGGGGGTTTGTTTATTGCAGATTTGCCTTAGAAATGAGGACCCTAGACTAAGGTGTCAATTTTTTATCTTCTTTTTTATTTAGACTACTGAGCTGTAAATTAAAGGGAAGATAATTTCTGCTCGTGGAGGAAAAGAAACGCGAATAACCTCAATGGAAGACTCTCAGGATCTAAGTGAACAGTCAGTGAGTACAAATGTTGATAAACATGGATGGAGTGGAATAAATTGAACTCTGTACAAGTTGTGTGAAGGGACTTGGGATTTGAAAATGATAGTAAGATCTGCAGAAAGGTTCTGAGCTTTTAGTTTGAAACCTTGTCTTACTTCATACATTAAATAAGTGGTTTTAATCTTTTTTACCTGTTGAAAGGTACAAGATCACTGCTATATAGGATTTTGCAGAACTAGAATTGTTGGAGGGATACAATAAAGGTATAGGGGAAAAATAAAATGTTATGAACTTACACAGTGCTATGCCTTGTTCAAATAATTGCATCAAAATGTATATCCATAGTGATCTGTCAGTTTTGCCAAAGCAAGAGTTACCAAAATCACAAACAAGATACTTCAGATGGTCAGACTGTGGCAGACGACATATATTAATTGTTTCAGGATTCTCTTGGACTTCAAGGGAATTGAGAGAATTGGCAGTGTATCGTTCTGTTTCATGTCAGAGAGAGATTCTCCTTGTCATTGATGACAGATCTGTGAGAAATGGGGTGGACATTTCTTCTCCTTTTTCCTTTCTTATTTCTCCTTTCCATTAAGGATGTGGTCTCCAGACTTCCTTACTGCCAGACTGTGGTTCTGAGGAGACAGTAGGCTCCAAGCAAATTTAAAGTTATCTGGGCTTGCCATCCACAGTATTGGCTTTGGTTTTAGTATCTTAATTTCTTAATGTTTCTTACTGGTCACAGTAGGGGCACATTTTGCAAGTACCGTGATCCCTACAAGTCTCAGCTTGGACTTAATGTACTAAAGATCAACAAAGGGATTTCTTATTTCTATTTCTGATATGCTGAAAGAGGTTATCTATGTAATAAATTAGTTTTAATATATATTTTTTATAACAGAGACTTTTATGGGTAACACAAGTTCAAGGAAGTGGGAAAACCTGCATGTATTTCTAAAATGTCAGTAATTATCTTTCATAAGGAGTACTTTGCTCCTGACTGGATAGCTCCTATCTGAGACTTTATCTTGGACTAGAGTTTTATTGCTGATTTTAAGTGGTACAGAACTGGAAAGTCTTAACGGTATTGTAAGTCCCCATGGTGGCACTACTTGGGACAGCTGCACATATTTAAATTGTTTTAGAGCATGTAAAAGCTACATGGCTTCATAATTTAATAAAGTTTTATAAAGGTCATAAAAGATTGGGCAGAAGTTCATGTCTTGCAGTCTGTGAAACAATTGTTCTGTGGAGTATATATGGTGCAGTTATTAATAAGAAGTAGATGAGCCAGTTTAGCTTAGTGCAAAAATGTCTTTTCATAGTAGTTTAAATGTTTTTGCAGCACTGGATGCCTGATAAATGCATATTTTAGTAGCTATTTTACTACCTCATCATAGTATAATTTCTGTAGTATTTCTCATAATTACTACATATCTTTATGATAATGCATGAAAACAGTCTTGCAGATTAGAAGTTGAGGTGAAATCTGTGCTGTGTTACATATGGAGGCAGGATCTTCTGGCTTTATACTATTGTTAGTGTCACAGAAAATTGTGATTCAAGACAAGTTTATTCTTCTTACTCTTCGCTAACAGTGACAGAAATTCAGGGTAATGGATGGGAGAGCCACTTCATCACTCCCTTCATCCAGGTGTATACTGAGACTTAAGATCTCGCCAAGATGTTGGGCACTGTCCTGGGAGAAGGAATTGTGCTGTGAGGCCTATCTGCCTAGAGCAGGCACTGACCCTTAATTTCCCAACTTCAGAAGCTGTTTTGCTATTATATCGTGGTTAAACTCCTCTTGCACCCAATTTTTAAAAGAGAAAATAGTGTTTCTGGCTTAGTTCCTTAAAAGCCACAGGGCGCGTCTGTGGACTAGAGGTTCCAGGTAGAAGGGGGCATTCTCAAGATGAGGCTTTGGTGGTTTAGGCTCTAGGAAGGTATCAGATATAAATCCTTCAAGTCTTCTGCTTGAAGTGTAGCTGTAGTGTTTTGTACTGGTTAATGGTTACTGGGTAGCTCTTGGCAGTTTGTGTTTATCAGGCAGAATTTCTGGTTTTCGACATGTTCGGGGAGGATAAGTACTTCATTCCAGCTTCAGTATTCCTCTTAGGGAGCTAAGTGCATAAGATTCAGATAATGAAAAGTCATGGAGCATAAGGATGTAGTGTATTAGATTATGTGAATAAGCATGAATGTAAGATCTGTGCTCAAACTTGTGCTGGCACCTTGCCTCAAATAGTCTAGTCCTTGGTTACTTGAAAGACTGCGTTTCTCTGCAAGTGGGATAGGTGAGAAGGTGCTTGCTGTTGGATGGTACGTTTGATGGACAGTTGAGGTTTTTTGAATAGAGATATACTTTATTGAATTCATTTCCCTGGGCATTCTGTTAAAGAGTCTTTCACCCTTGGGAAAGGAGGCCAGGCATACTTACTTTGTACAGTGAACCAGGTTAATTTTTAAATTTAATTACCTTAAAAAAGAGGAACTTCTGCTAATTTCTGCAAGTATATCATCCTCCTGCAGCATGATATACAGTTTTGTAGCTTTTATTCTGACTTCTCCGTAAGTTTGAGATCACTATTATTATTTTAATGCAAGTTTTTGCTGTTTACTCTGTCTTCTGTTCTTTTAAAATGCACTAATAGGAAATGAATTGTTCTATGATTCCTATCCTGAAAGTATATCTCAGCATCCCTGTAGCTATATGAGAAATAAACTCTTACCCTTTTGTCTCAGGGCAGTGACGGGATGGCCACATGTTACTTCAGATATCTAAGTACACCTCTGTTCTCTGAGCCTCTAAAGAATTGTGTTTGACTGAATTGAGCAGCTGCTGTTTTCTGAAATGCCAGCTTGAGTAGATGCATTATATATACCACTTAATGCATTATGTCATTAATTTATTTATTTTTCCTGGTTTTGTTTCTGATAAATTCCTTGCTTCTGCTATGTTTTAAATTGTTATGCTTCTGGCTGACCAGAAGTCAGTCTACTTGCCTAATTGTACTGTAGAGCCTCTATACCCAGAAAACTGATGTTCTCCCTTTCCTTCACCTTTTCCCATGTGGCAGAGGTGGTGGAATCAAGCCTTAAACTAACTCGTACAGTGACCAAAAGAGTCAGAATAGAGTTTATTATACTTTGGTTTATTATACTTTGGTTTTCTTGTCTTTACTCACAACTGCATAGGTAAATAGCTCTATTTTAAAGATCAGTGGGAAAATAATTCAAGCTACTAGCTGACACAGAGCAGAGCTGGGATCCTTCAGGTGCAGCTGAGATCCAGAAGATCCTTGCAGCTGGCATGGAGTGGTCGGGGTCGTACTATTGTGGTACTGTACTTCTGGGGTGGGTGCGTGTCCTAAAAATCTCACAACTCTCTTTTTCTTTCCAGTTCAGATGCAGAATATACTTGTATGACCATGCATAAGAAGGAAATTTTCTTTTCATTGATAGGAAAGCTCAGTTTTCATTCATACTGAAAAAGAAGAAAACAGTAAGAGAGATATTTCACAGACAGAAGAAAATAACCAAATGGTCCTGTTCATATTCTGGTGAGAGGTCTGTTACTAAGTGCAGGCTGCTATTTAGCAAGTAAAAGAATACTTTAAACCACATATATCTGTTTTACATGGGCAGATGTAGCTAGGTAGAAACAAAGTTTTCATAACTGTGTATACCATAGACTTTATGCACACTACATTAAAAAAAAGTAGAAGGTATAAGAAAATACATCACATTTTATTTTACTATTATTGCTTCCTTCAAAAAAAGCCAATTTTTTTTCTAAATGCTAACTAGAAATACTTTTTTATCAAAAGATGCATGTTAAAAGTTCTTCTACTTAGTTTTGAAATGAGAGAGAAGGAAATTTTGCAGATCTTGTATTTATGAACAATCTAGCAGTAGGGAGACAAAAGCTTTTTAAGACTGGTCTTGGAGATGGCTAATAAAATGGTAAATGTTTAGCACCAAAATAGTCCTCTCATGTGCCTTGGTATAGCAAACACATACAGGATCTTGAGAACTACAGTTTTACAGTCTTATTTTATTCTCTTCTAGTCGTCACTTGCTGTTCAATCTCTATTAGTAGGAGAAAAAGAATTTGGCTGCTAACTTGCTAGTTTAGGATTTCAAAGGGCCTTATTAGAAACTGGTGTAATTTCATCCCCTGGCCCTTTTATATAACAGCGTGCATATTTAGATTACTTCATTTTAACCTAGAATTAAACAATAGATTGCAGTGCTGTAGGACAGGACACTAGCAGATGTGAGGCTAAACCTGAATGAACAGGTTTTCATTTTTCTGACGTTTGGACAATCATCCCCATTGTGCCCTGGGTAAGTTGTTTGTTTTTTATCAGATTATGCAGACTGTTATATCTGTTACTTGTATTTATGGCCCACTTGGAGCTGGACAATCCCTGGCAACCTTTTCAGACAGTGTTTGTCCATTTTCGTTTTGTTTTAATGTGTGAAGCTGTCAGATGTGATCCCTTTGCAGATCAGTTTTCAGCTGTAGCTACTTCTCTGTCACACAAGCACTGTACTTGCAGCATTTAATCTTACCCCCGTCCGGGGTGGGCAGCTTGCTTGCACCCCAGGAACTTCAGCTGAAGCTCATTTCAATGAAATGAAAATTAGTTCAAACTTTTTAACTGAATTTTAAATGTTCTGTTTAATTGTTCTGTATCACAGCATAGCATGTTATGGTTCATATCTCTGTCATATCAATATCTGTAAGACTTGGAATATTACAGGCAATTAATCTTGTCATATTAGCAATGCTGGTTGAAAGAGATCTCTGGAAGTTAACTAGAGTAGCTTCTGAGGTGCTGGCAGTATGCACAAATATTTTACTTATAAAAGCAGAGAACTGTATCAGTAATATCAGTAAGTGAAAAAATTACAGGTTTAATAAGAAAAAGAAAAAAGTTTCCTTAACAAATGATTACTTGTTTTTAATTGGAATGAATCATTGAAGAAAAATTCCATAACTTGAA